TAATTAGGTGTAACAAGTTTTGAACAAGTGTTTTAAACCTGTTTATTTGTTGTGTTTCTGGCTATAAGTGAAGAGTTTCTTCTAGAATGACTTTAAGTCAGACTGAAGAGTAACAGCCGTTGCCCAACTCTGAATGCCTTGGTAAAATATTTAAATACTACATAATCCATAACTTTCCTTTGTAGTCTATTAACATCTAAAAATATCTAACTCCTGTAGAAAAATTGTTTTGTATTTGCTAAGTGTAAGTTAGATTTCTGTGACAATGGGATGTCTGTTTTGTTTTTGGTTTTGTTCTAGTTTTACAACACCAAACCATGTATGTTCAGTTTATATCTGAACAATTGCTTCCATAAGATGTTTATCTAAATGAGAGAGAAAGGCCATTACTAGTTCTAAAACCCAGCTTCTGCATTACCTACACATGCATTGACTTTATGATTTGAGGAACAATGGGCACATTTGAAATTTAGCTATACCATTATTCCTTCCAAAGTGTGATGCCCCTTGCTACATGTGTTCATCAGCACGAGTCAAAAAAACAAAGTGCATTTCAGTTGAAACTACAAAATTAAAGTACAAACAGTGGTAGAATCAGCTGATTCCTGGGGTTTTGTTTAAAACATCAGATACCGTGCACACATACATTTTCCTCGTTCAGTTTTTTTCACTGTGCTCTGCTACAGTAGCTCAAAGGAGATTAAAGCAGAAAAATAACCTACACACATACAAAGCACAGACCTGAGGTTGTGTGTAAGCTACTGCACTGGCAGGAATGCGGTTTAATTCTTGGCACCGACAGCTTGCTGGAGAATTACAATATGTTGGCATCGGTTTCCAGGTCTCATTGTTCCAGCCCAGGGAGTCGGTCTTAAGAGGGTTTGGCACCAGAGGGAAAACGGAGTGAGAGTTACAGGGAATGAACAGGCCCCAAAGAGGCAGGAGGCTGCCGGAACAATGGCTGGCAACTCCGGAGACTCTCTGATGGGGTTGCCATAGGCAGCCAAATGCGAGCCAGAGAGGAGAGAAGCCGGCCAGTGTGTCTAACGGCTGGGGATGGCAGAGAGGGGCAGAAGGGATTTCATAGCCTCGTCTTCATGTGCGGACAGATGACGGTCATTTCCTAGGCTCTAATAATGATCCATGGCTTATTTTCTTCCACATTTGTTTTATATTGTCTTTTCAAATGCATGTGTTGAGTTTCCTTCTAAGAAGACTAACCCTTGAAGGAAGAGCCCTGGTTTTCATGGTCTACGTGTACTTTGGACGAGCTGCGTTGGGGCAAAGTCTGACTTTCCTCAGCTACGACATGGAGGAGAGTAACCCCATGTACTGCTGTCAAAGGTGTTGTGGCTGACAGCATCCTCTGAGCTGAGACACGGTGCCAGCACCTTCGTTGACTCTTACAACGACTTTATTTGAGGAGACCCTTAGTTTTGAGAGTAACTATTGAAACTCCAATGCTTAGAGAATGAAGGACTAAGTGTTTAAAATAAGAAATGTATACTAGGTATGGTGACACACGCCTTCAATCCCATCATTTGGAGAGCAGAGGCAGGCAGATCTCTGCCAGTTGGGGTCAGCGTAGTCTACATAGTGAGACCCTGTCCAACAACAACAACAGAATCTAACAAACAAAACCATGAAAACAAAAGAGCAAAACAGAACTTGAACGCTTACTAACACCGCAGTCACCAACCACTCCCAAGGCATAAAACTTGACCCTGTGTCTTTAAAAAAAAAAGCATACCCCATTTCTGAAAACTAAACATTGAGCCACTATCTTTTTTTTCACACCATAAATAGTAAGAGGTACTTAAGAGCTGTGGTAGACACCCCTTTATTGAATTCACACTTGAGAAAACAGGTGGTTGTAAATATTGGGATTTTGCCATTTTGTCTTTTCTGTTTCTACTCGTAGATCTTTCTTACTGCTCTCTGAGAGGCTTCATCAATGAGGAGGGCACCTGGCTGCCCCTTTGGCTGGACACCATTCCTTAGCATCACTGTAGGAGCCCCTGCCTGGAAGTGCATTGTGGGAAATAGACTTGCCAGCCCTATTTGGGTGACAGATACTCATACAGAGAGCTGAAGCTGGGGGCTGAGGGTGCAGACCCCACCCTCCACCAATCAGCTACTCCAGCAAGCTGCTGTCACAGGATGGGTGACACTCTGGCCTCTTTTTCCCTCGAGGCCCAGTATTCCTTATAGTTCATAAGCAAAAGGGGTAATTTAGTTGTTCATGCTCACAGGAAGTTTTTTTTAACCATCCAGAGCGAATTCCATAGTGCAAAATCTTATAATTAGATTAAGTTCTGATGCTAATGAGAACTGCAAAAATAAATAAATAAGTAAAATAAAATCAAGCCTCTTAATCCCATGGTTAATACTCATGCAAACATGTTATTCTGGAAAGTTCAGTTTATTCTTTGAATCTTTTGCTCCAGTGAAGTTCGGAGTGGCCCCCGTAATCTAGAATTCTTCTGCAGAGGAAATGAAGGTGTGTCATCTGTGTGAGCATGTGTGTTTGCAACTGAAACCGCAGGCTGTGAGATTCAGATTTAGCTTCGCTGTGGGCAAGCCCTGTGCCTCCCTAAGCTTTGCTTTCTTAACAGGTGACTATCAACCCTCATGTTGAGAAGTTTGCTATGCCATGCAGAAGGGGCTTTTTCCGTTGCTCGGAACTTAGCCTACCCAAGACATTGCTGTTTCCCATCATATATTTTAAAACCCCAGACTGGTCTAATCCTGAATCTTTGTGTGTGAGTCCTCCTTAGAACCCATAACATGGATGCAATTGCCCATTCTCAGACTTCTGGTGGCTTAAAGGAGTGGACAGAGGTAGAAACAGCACCACAATCCAAAGACAGAGGCCACTCAGTGTGTAAATTTGGAGTCTTAGTCATCCCTGGACTGACAAGCCCAAGTTAGATACACTTCTGATTTTTCCATTTTCACAAATGCCCCTACTGTCTCTATCCCTCCTTCCCTCCCTCCCTCCTGTATGCTAAGAGTCAGCTTGAGCCAGCTATCTAGGAGCCTTATATCTTAACATTTGTTAATAAGGAGGCCAGGAATGTTCTGTAGGTTCCAAAAATCTGGCTACTGTTTCTTTAACTCTGCAACTTTAGACAGAAGACTTCTGTCCCTTTATGAGGCGGCCACAGTAGATATTTTGTCTAGCTGCAAAGGAAAGGCATTGCCACGGACCTGGCAGACAATAGCCTTAAAAGTAAAAAGGTCTGTTTCTGGAGCAGGGAGGCTCAGGGGCCATTGTTAGTCCACAGTGGATTTCTATTGCCGCATTCCTGCTTTGCAAAGGTTTGTTAGCTTTTAATGACTGACAGAACTCTCCTGCAAATACCATATTGGCCATGCCCTGTTTACACGCTACTCAAGCAATTTTTTTTGAGCTCTGAATAAAGAAACGGTGGTGTTTGTTTGACCTACTCTGATAAGGTTTAAGAACTGATTTTTTTCCCAGTGCTCGGTGGGAATGTAGACACACTGAAGTTCCTTCCATGCAGAAGTATTTTCAACTCACTGTAAACATCATGATGCAAGTGGAAATGCTGATGACAACAGCAGCCTGCACTGTGGCTGATCACAGCATTGCTGTCATCATTTCCAACATCTGAGGAGCAAAAACACGGGTGTATTTTAGGAAAACGTACAAGAAGGCCTATTAGGATTTCCCTTCACTAAGGAAAATAGAAATGGGCATTCTTTGACAAAGAGTATTTTAGCCACGTCTCATGAATGGGACATGTACAAATATACAGACACAATTTCAAACAATAGCTGACACCTTTTGCCATTTAAATCTCACCAATCGTACTTAACCTCCAACTCGCTGAACCCCCCCCCCAGGTCATACAGTCTCTCTGACAAATTAGCAAGTTATTCCTTTCTGTTCCTCCTAGGCGGCAAATAATCATTGGAGCAAACAGAAATGCTCTTAGCCACCGTTATGCAGACAGCAGTGCTTGCTAAGACCCAAGGAAGTAGAGGTAGTGCTTTGTTTAGATGAGGCACAGGGGACACTTATCTTTCAGTAGTGTGGCTACTTTGTTTTGTTTTCTAACTCAATGCAAGGCTAACTAGAGGACTGAAATGCATTGTCATTGTGTACCCAGATAGATGCTGACAGGAACTTACAACTCCATTGTTTGGAACAGAGTCTAATGTGCGCTAGTTTTGTAACAGTTATATTTATTTATAGTTAAGGTTCAGTACAAAAGGAGAGGGTACAGCCAGGTATCTCCAAAAAAAACAAACCATGATCTATAACTCATGCCCTTGCCTCTAAGATGTGTCTGTTCTGTCTCAACATGGGGCATTTGCAAAACGCATGATGCAAATCTGAAATAAGCAAATAATGTGTTTCCATTAGCATCATTACTCAGTTCACTGGATTTTTGCAATCTTTTAAAGGCTTCTTTTATGTCAACCTTTTGTTTGTTTGTTTGTTTTTTATATTTTTGCAGTGTTGGCTGTGTACTCACAAATCTTGCTACGGTGTGGTGGTTACCACCACACAATGTTACACATATTATGGAGTGCACGGAATTGTAAGCACACAGAGATGTAATTACATGTAGCGGGTTTAAGGGCTAATTCTTTGCCTCTTTTTTTTCCACTCTGCATTTTATCAACATAATTATTTTCTGACTGCAGACTAACACTCTGAAATTGACAAGCATCCATTATAGCAAGAAGGTGTCCACCAAATTTAAAACAATGAGCTGTGGGCTCACACAAGCCCATTGTCATAAAGAATTAGTATGTCTTTGTTCTGTAAGGGGAAAAGCTAATGATTTTGAAACAGCAGGTGACCAAACACACTCTTTTTTCCCCCTCCCTGTTATCAGTTTGTTGATGAAGTCATTATGAACTGGGGCCAGGACCAGGATGGCCTTATTCTTAGCAGATAGGCTTCTACGAGCCTGCTGCAAGTAGTCACGCTGGTTTGCTTATGTGTGCCTTTTTTCTTTACTTAGATACCCCCAGTATTGAAAAACTACTCTCAAAGGACTGGAAAGACAAGCTCCTGGCAATGGGATCAGGGAACTTTGGAGAAATTAAAGGTAGGAAGTATTGCCGCTTTTATCTAGAATGTTCAGAAATGATGTTGTTCTTTCTAAGTATTGGTGGCTATGAAATGCTTCTGTCCCTGCCCCTCCACATCATGCCTGCTCTGGTATAAGCTTTCCTTCTAGCTTGGCAACAGACTGAGGCTCTGCCTGGGTGTTCCCCTTGCACTGTATAGGATCAAGGATGGGGGCTTTTGTCTTCTTGTCTTAAGAAACAAACCACTCTCTGTGACTCGCTCTGCTTCTCCTCCCCCTATTTGAGTCATGATTTATTTCTAAGGTAAGAATGTATCAACACGGAGGTTTGAAACAGCGTCTCGTAAGTTTTAACTCACATCTCACTTCTGAAGTGCGAGTGCTTACAATGGGCAGCCGGAGCCTGCGGATGAGCAAGGCAGACAGAATACAAGGGCGTTGCAAGTCGGTGTCAGCGATGTTTCTCTTTGGGCTCATTTGAATCAGCAATTGCAGCTAGTCAAAGCTCTCTGACGGCTTCAGAGAGCCCTGGACAGCCACATCTTCACACACTTCCGGTAACAAGGGAGATTTAATTTTCCCCGTGTAGAAGCACATGATTGCTTCTGTTGCTTTTTATCTGCCTCTTCTCAGAGCATGGGGCAGTGCACAGCACCCTGTTGCTGCCAGCAAAGGTACTTGTGGTCCTAAATTCTACAGCAATAGAATTCTCGATAATGTCAAGATATCTGGTCATCAACAGCATCACATTTGCTCGTGAGCTGTCGTGCTTATCCTCCACGGGTGCTGAATGTAAACTTAAAGCGATGTGCAAATGTAAAGTGACAATTCTCTCCCATCCAAGCATCCTAGAGCAAAGTGTTTGTCTTTTCATCTCTTTTGTCATATAGGATCTGGCTGTTTGGAAAGTTCCAGAAAAAAAATTTGACCGATGATTTCACTTGCCCATCGTTTGCATGCATTCTGGCTTTAGAGGCCATGGGATGGGTTTGATGACCAGCGTCTATTTCCGGGAGAAAGGTTAAATGAACAGTCAGCATGCCCCTGAGCTTGGCAGGATGTAAGGGGAGCACAAAGTAAAGTCTCCACTTCCAAGACATCAAGCCTTTCACCTTTTTGATGGATTTTCCAACCCATGACCCCCGAGGCGAAGGACACTTAGTTCCTGCCTCTGTCTTCCTCCGCTGCCCCTCAGCCACCACCGAGCGTGGAGCAGGCAGGGCCGGCTGCCTGCTTCAAGTCTTGTTCTGGCATTTCTCCCTCTCCTCCTTCCCTAGCCAGACTTGAAAGCCTATATGGCAGTGATGGCTGGCTTAGAGGACAGAGGCTCCGTGCCGTCCTTTGAGCCTAGCCTGGGGGCTACTTTAGGACGCTGCAGTGCAATCACAAAAGAAGTTTCTGTCTTTAATTTTGAGTTTTCAAAGCTTCACAGTCGCAGCAGCCCAAGTTCAGTCATTGTCCCCCGGCTCTGTTTTTCATGTTTTTAAAATCTGTTTCCAGATTAAGCATTCTGAAAGCAACCGTCCGTCTTTCTTCTGCAGGGCCTGGCAATTAAGGTGCTCACTCTGCTTTCCCTGTAGAGTGGGGGACAGCGCTGGGTCACTGTGCCTGCTGACTGTGTGGGACAGTTACAATGACAAGTCATTGCTCATAGGTGCAGAGGGTACAAGATTGCCTCTGGGGTAAATGAATTGGGGGGTCAGTGCCCAGGAACGTGGTTTCTCGCCACCTCAAAAGTCAGAGAACAATGGCTGCCTTGTTTCCGCAACTGTTTTATCCCAGGCAGAGGAAGGTGTGAGGTTCATATATTTGTCTACTGTTGCTGGCTGGGGCTGGGGTTCGTGGGTTCTTCCAAAATAGGAAAGCATGAACGTGCTGAACGACTGGGTGGTTTGTCAATGGCCGTTTACAAATAACAGATTAGTATAGAGCTTTCTCGTATGTCTGGATGGTGGGTACCAACTTCACAGCATCACCTGCATCCTCTTACACGGTGAAAAGTGCCCCCCTCCCCTCTGTTTATCTCAGCCGGTTTTATTTAAAATTTTATAGGCTCTGGGAAACAAAAGTAATCAGAGAGAGGAAGAGAGAGAGAGACAGAGGGGAGAAGAGAAGGATGGAGGAAGAGAAATGAGAGAGTGTGTTGGGGGGGACTGGAGAAAAGGGGATAGGGATGCTTGTAGATTTACCACTGTAGCCAAGCCAGGCTAAGGAAAGACTCTTCCTCAGTACTTTGATGTGTAACCACTGAGTTACTTTCAAGGTATTTGAACAAGCTAGTAGAGTCACAACTTGGAAAAGCTTAGAAAAAGTTTTCTTACTATTAGTATTCACCAAGAGTTAAGTGGAAAACTTTTCATGTAGGAAGAGTAAGCATGGTACCTTGGCTGTCCATAAATAATTGTATTTAAATTCGAACTCACATTTTTTCCTCAAGAAATGATATTACTGAAGGTCACTGGCCTCCGAGTGCGTAAAGTTACTTGTCTTGTCTTCATATGCATTTTACTGTGTGTGTGTGTGTGTGTGTGTGTGTGTGTGTGTGTGCACTCGTGCACGCGTGTGCTGTACCCAAGCTTGTGTGGGGTCAAGGATGAATTAGAAGTTAGTTCTCTCCTTCCATCAAGAAGGCTCTAAGACTCAGGCTTCACAGCAGATGCCTTTACCTGCAGAGCCATGTTGCTGGCCCCTGAGGTTCCCTTTTCAAGATGCTACAGTCTTTTGCCTGGTACCATTTTATACTCTGGCCCTTTGAAGATGTGACATGTTCAGGTTTTAAAGGCATAGTAGAACTATGCCTCTTGTAATGCACACGGGATCTAGTTTGGGGAAAACAGGAGATCTGCAGACCTCTGCCAGTGAAAGTCAGGCAGTTGTGCTGTACTCCAAGGGGCTGCCTGAGGAAATGGTTTCTTCCCTTCTCCTCAGACATACTGTGTTACTGGGCAGCCCTCAGAGGCCTTCTGTGTCATCCACAGCAGAAGATCTGAGTAGCAGTGGTGACCAAGGCACATTCCAGCTGGTTACCAGCGGTATCCACAGCATTTCAGCTGGCATGGAATTCCATGACACCAAAGGTCACTGGATTGGCACTTCACCCAAGGACAGTGTCTGGGGATCCATAGTGGCTTTGGCTAACCTAACAGAGCATTCATTTCCCAGCCAAGCAACTGCAAACACTGTATATTACTCGTGACGTGCATTTGTAGACTGTAACACCCATGCCTGTGTGCAGACATCTCATTTATGTCTTCCACTGCTGTAATGTAAGTGGAACATTGGCTGGGAGGTTCACTGGGCAGGCTCCTCAGCAGAGTCCAGGACAAGGCCTTGAGGGCATGTTTGACTAGGTCCTTCCTACACAGGACTCACAACTTCTCCTTTTTATTAATTAAGCCCCAGAAAATGTTATATATGTCATGTAGAGGTGAATGCCAGCTATGCTTGACAAAATAAAAATGTGACTATCTCAAGTCCATAATTTAGTCATTCTAGACAATGGAATAAGCAGGCAAACACTGCACAGCTCTGGATTCATATAGATAGACCTCTGAGCAATAAAATTGCCTTTAAGATCAGGAATTAAGTATGGGAGTGGAGTCAATTCCTGGATTAACATAATCTCTCAAGTGATGTACATTTTTAAATAGACAGGCATGTTGAGTATGTGCTTTGAAAGAGATAATTATTTGTATAAATTGCATTAGATAACTTGAAAATAATAAGTCAAAGAAATAAAAGTCAAATACAGGATTTTTTTCCCAAGCTAGCGCTCTAAGCCTGGTGAGCTTGATCAATTGAGAAAGTGCTTACATTACAATGTCGAGGATAAGAGTTCAAGTCCTAGACCTACGGTTAAAAACTAAGCTGGACCTGGTGTCTTGGTTGTAACCCCAGCACTGGGCAGCAGACAGGTAGATCCCTGTCATCTTAAGCCAGCTAGCCAAGACTTCTTGGCAAGTTCTGAGCTATTAAAGGACCCTGTCTCAGAGACAGAGTTGGACTGTATCTGAGGAAGAACCCAACTCATTTCCACTTTTGCAAATTTAAAACAAGTAGACAAGAATATCAACATTTTCATCTGTTCATGCTTGTGTCATTTGGAAAGGTGTCTTAAAGCCGTCCTTTTAATGCCCTGCATTTGTTTAAGGGTCGGAAGCATTGCCCTGTGAGGGTGGCATCTGCACACTCACCTGAAACCTGTAGGTCTGCACACCTTCAGGGGGACTGAGAATGCTGATTTTATGAAAGCTGTTGTACCCCAAAGACATTTAATGAAGAGTCAGCCAGAAGTCAGCTATATCACATGAAGTTATTTATTTCTATATAAAATAATTGTGTAATTTTAGTCTTCTCAGATCACTTTCTAGCCTCTGTAGTTGCTTCTAGGTGATGTTTTTCTCATTTTACTAAAAATACATATTTTAAAATTTCACAAGACTGAGGAAAGTCTGATAGTGTGGAGAGGGTAAGACTGGAGAAGCAGCTCTGTGGTTGCATAAAAAGTCAACGTCCCTGCTCTTTCCATTGCCAGGTGATCAGCTTGCTTTTGGGTGCATAAGCAAACTTAGGGTTGGGAAGAAGACTCCGTTACCAGGTCTCAGGGGTCCATGAGTGCAGGTTTTTACTCGTGTTGTACTGAGGGCAAGACATAGTCTTCGTCATGCTTGCTTTAGGTGTGTTGGGAAATACTAAGGTCATACTTTATCTGAGTTTACTTTAGACAGAAAAGAAATAACATCATTAACATTGTTATCCAGCCTTTTCAAACAATTTATAAGTTCAAGAGGAATTGAGTTGGAAACTTAAAATAATGATAACATTGTTTGTATCCTTGCAGATACAGGCTCATCCAAGGCTCATAAAATATGATCTGGACGGTTGGATAGTTTAGCCCAACCCCAGACTTCCCTAGCTTCATGGCAATCTTAGTAAGGGAACATGCTGAAGCCACAGCTGTGAGCAGTCATGTGACCCCATTTCTTCCAGGCACCCAGGGAACATCAGACTGTGTCTTGTGGTTTCCATTTCCTCCTCTGATCATTTAAGGGAAGTCACAGTCAAGGATTTACTGCTTATCGCTCCATACACAACTTTCTCACAAAAGTATTGTCATACACATCTTATTGCAGTTCACACATTGTTAAAAATTATAATAACCAGAGACCAATTATCCTAAGCCACATACTGTAGTTGTGGTAGATACAGCCTGCACCTTCTGCATGATGGTCAGTGCTCTGTCTCTCTTAGCATTAGAGCAGACTATCTCCAAAGCCCTTTAAATATTGAGAACACTGATAGACAGACTGTACATGAAAGGCTCCATGAAATTCCAGCCGGAGGAGCTCATGCCTAGCACTCCCCACACACATATTCCAGCATCCTTGGTGTGCTCACATGTCGGCCTTCCTAATTTAGTATCATCTTTGAATCAGATGCTGGGGTCAGCCAGGAGGCTCAGAGGTTAGTACCATGGTTTTTCTTATAGAGGACCAGGGTGTGACTCCCATTTACATGGTGGCTCACACTTGTCTCTCCAGTTTCAAGGAATCCAGTGCATTCTTTGTGGCCTCTGACAACACCAGATACACAAGTGGTATCCAGACATATATGGAGGCCAAATACCCATATATTAAACTGAAATAATAAATATATTAATTAAAAATTTCATGTTAGACAGCTATTGACTGCAATCCAAATACAGCAAAAATAACGTGATACTTTGAAAAAACTTATTTTTTACATTTTAAGTACATTAAGTAGGTGGGCGGAAGCATCTTGATAGAAGCCAATTAAGTTACATTAAATTATAAGGGTAAAAATCGGCAGTCTTTCCTCAGGACTGGGAGATAGCTCAGCAGTTAAATACACTTGTGATGATGGAGATTTCTGTCCCACCTGGTCCCACAGCTGATTAGCCCCAAATAAACACACAAAGACGTATTAATTTATAAACTGTTCAGCCAGTGGCTTAGGTTCTTATGGGCTAGCTCTGTCTTAATTATCAACCCATTTCTATTCATCTATGCTTTGCCACGAGGCTGTGGCTTACCCGTAATCCGGCACGTTACTCCTTCCTCCGGCAGCATGGAGTCTCTCTTCCCCCGCTTCTCTCTGCCTTCCTCTCCCCAGCCTTCTCCTGGTCTGGAAGCCCCACCTATACTTCCTGCCTGGCTACTGGACAATTTGTTTTATTCATCAACCAATAAGAGAAACATGTATACAGAAGGACATCCCCCATCACACTTGGTCCTCAAAGTTACGGGCAGCTGCAAGGTGCCCTGTGTGGGTCCTGGGAACTGAAGTCAGCTCCCGTGCAAGAGCAGGCAGTCGTCCTAGCTGCTGAGCTACCTCTCTAACCCCTTTCAGTCTTTGTTTTTTCTATTTCAGCCCCTCTAAGCTGAACTCGTTAGGGAATGATAAAGATCACTTGAAGGATGATCTCTGTAGACAGAATTGTGCAACCTTTTGACTTTCCTTGGGTCGATTTCGTTCATTCAGTTATTAGGTATGAGGTGTTCACGAAGCATGGGGCCTCGCCCTATAGATGCCAACAGTGCAGAGTGAACTCGTGTCCTGCTTCCGTAGCGCTTCTAATCCAGCGTGTAACACAACCCACAGAAAGTCAGCAAGAATGCAACAGATAGTGCACAACACTGGTTGACGAGAAGCAAGGCATGATGGCGTCTTTGATGTTAGTGTTTGAGAGATGTCACCAGGGGAGCCGGCCTTCAAGCTCAGACTTGAGGACCTGAGTATTTGTTCCGTTGTCATCTCTCCCATATAGAGTTAAGCTATGGGCAGCCATCTTCTCTGGGTTACCCTGTGCATAGCACTGACGTTGAGAACCGGGAGTCACAGGAGCTGCGCCATAGATGTGACTAGATGAAGGGAAGGAGCCAGTCCTGGGAGCAGTTGTCTCACTGGCCATCGACACTGTGGTCAACCTTAGGCTACACACATGGCAGCTGATACCACAGACAATGCCTCCTTAGGGATACTGTGGTCACTTTAAGTTTATCCAAGTACAGTCTGTGATGTTCCCACATGACGCAATCTGCCCAAGGATTGCTTCTCAGGACATGCTCCCCATGCTGGGCTCTGCATAACTGTAACACTCAAAAGAGTCTGGGGAGCTAGGAGATTTCGAGAGCCATTTGTGAGGTATAAATCATGAGGGACACCGTCCTGCACCTAGTGAGGTGGGGTGGAGCAGTTGTTGTGAATTGTGTGGCCTGCCTTTATATCCTCCTCCAAGCATAGAACACTGGACATTTGCCTGGAGTTAGGTTTTACTAAGGAAGGCGATTGACTCTGTAGGAGGGACAGAGAGCTGCTCCGTGGATGATGTAAAAGAGGCATGTCAGGGGTCAAACAGTGCTGGAGGCAGACATGAAGACCCATGAGAAGACATGCACTCTGTCCCAGGGTCCATAGGATTTCCCAGGTTTTTGATAAGAGAAATGACACAGACCAAAGGCGAAAGGGAACACCTGGCTTCAGGATAGGCCGTGTCCCTCAGTGACGCAGGAGAATTGGAGTTGGAGCTCAGTCCTCAGGATCTCTTCTATGATACTACCACTGGAAACATTGACAGGATGTTTTTGACCTTTGGTGAGCGTTCATTCCAGGTGTGCTAAAGCCGCACTGTCATAGATGACACACACTCATGCTGGTAGCCCGGACACCAGAATCAATGGCTGTCCTGGAAACACAGGGAATAAGATCCAGGGCTCTGAATTGGAGGGAAATGATCATTGCAGGCAGTGTGGCTCCTAGAGTGTTACACTGTTTTCCTCGAGGAACTCTGGGTTTATATGAGTAGACACTAGCTGCTGTATGTTTCCTTTCAGTGAGGGCAACCACTGGAGGACCTAACAATGTTCTTTAGTCGTTGTTGTTCATTTTTTTAAAGTCTAGACTGTTTGACACTTCACAAACCTCTTCTTGCTCACAGGCCACTCTGTGAGTGTGAGCCCTCCTTATGCACTGGACACCCGTTATGAAGAACAAGGGGATTTGGAAGGACAGCCTTCAAGGCTATGCCTTGTTTTAGTTTATGAATTTCAAAGAAGTGGAGATCACTGCAAAAAGTTTGCCCTCTTGGCTAAATGCTCAGAAGCCCAAACTGGAACCCTATGGAGCACCTATGAAATGCAAGTCTCTGTCCTTGTAACACACAGTGGCTGAACATGAGGACAGTCAAGAGTGAGGGGTGGGGAGCATTCTTTATGCCATTTGTTAGAACAAGGCTCAAGGGTTTGTTGTCTGTCAGGCATTTACCACTTGCTTTGCTTACAATGGGAGGAGCTGAAGTTGAAGTGAAGAGCTCAGTGATGACCGAGACACACAGAGAGTAGGTATGTGTTCATTCATTGGGCAGATGGAGAAGTAGTGAGGGGCTGGGGTGTGGCTCCTTGGAATAGCATGACTGTGCACATCCAAGGCCCCAGATTCCATATTTAGCACAAGAGAGAAGGAAGGCATGCTGGAGTATGCTCGAGGTCTACAAAATTAGAATCAAATGTAAAAATCACAGATTTTTATTTTAAATGTGAAATATGTTTTATCTGCATAGTTTAGTGATAGTCCAAGAAGTTCCACTAATCTTTCATGTCTCTTCACCAAATACTATACCTCTTCATATCCCAATGTTGTATCATCCTATGCCAATGGACTTGGGCCTCCCTGGCTCCCAATTTATGGCTGCATATTTGGGTGAGATATTTTCTGAAAAATAAATAACGGTAGAAATTTACCAAATATGTAAACATGGAGTAAAGTTTAAAATAACATAAAATCTCATCAGCTAGAATGGGTTACCACAGATACGTAGGTACGTTAGCTTTCCATCTTTGCCTTTGTAGTGTAGAAACATGCATGTTAAAATTAAGAAATACTGTAAAATGGGGCTGAGAGGATGAATCAGTTGGTAAAGTGCCTGCCCCACAAGCTTGAGGGCCTGAATTTGGATGCCCACAACCTAGCATGAAAATCCAGGTATAACACCATACACCTGTAATCCCATTGCCAGGGCAACAGAGGCAGGAGGAACCCTGGGGCTTTCTGGCCAGCCAGTCCAGCTGAATTGCTAGGGTCTAGGTTCAACTATTGATCTGAATTGATTAGGACCAAAAGACATCCAAGTTTAGCCTTTGGCTTCTACTTCTACATACGTGCACACACATGTGCAGGCACATACACACACAAACACACACGTGTAGAGTACCTGTGGAACACATACACATAGAAATGACAAATAAATGGTAATGAAATATCACAAATAATGATTCTTATGTTATACCCACACAGAACCACATTCTTTATGCATGCTCCTTAGACATGCATTAGAAACTGTATTTATTTTTTGCCTCCTTTTCAAGAGGGCCCTGAAAATAAGTCACTGACTGCAGCCACTCTTTCTTAAGCAATGTGCTTTCTCCTCATAAGCTTGTAGGGAGAGACCCAGTTGAGGCAGAGTAGATCTTTCTCATTGTATACGCAGTTGGGAAATGCATCACTGAAACAGTGGCTGGTGCCTTCTGTTTGGAGTGAGCAGTGTAAAGAGTTTATTCTGCCCTACTGCTAGCTAGCCCTTTACCAGAGGGGTCATGTTTCTCACTTGAGTTCTAGAGGAACCTTTCTGCTCGTCTCATTTCTGTGTCACTGTGTAGTATGCATTACATAACTATCAAGTACAGAACATGACTTAAGATGTTGAACAATTTTAAATGTCTTGACCACGCCCTTTCTTTAAATGACCACCATGACTTGTCAGTTTATAGATCCAAGTACAATATTGGGTAAACTTAAGGTGGTATTCATCTGCCAGCCACATTTTATCACTCAGTGGTAACCTGTTGTGCTCTTGGACTTGAATCTTCCCTTGTCAATGGTATTCTGGTTCTTAAAATAACTCAAGATGATCTCAGACTTAGTTGGCTATGTCGCAGGATTTACTCCTTGTTTGTGGCCCTGGGGGTAAACCCAGCGACTCAGTTATTATCACATGTGCTCTCTCTCTGACATATCCTCTAGGAGCCAAGGTGTTTCCCCTGTATTAATATAGTATTTCTCATACTGAATCTTCCTGGTCAATTTACAAATAAAGGAGGGGCTGGAGGATGGTTCAGTGGTGAGGAGTGTCGCTAGTCTTCCAGAGGACAAAGTTCAGATCCTATCATCCACATCAGTGGTTCACAACCTCCTGGGTCCAGAACTCCATCTGATCCAGAACTCTTTCTGATTACTGGGGCACCTGCACACATGTACCTATATCTCACACAGACACAGAGATAATAAAACAAATCTTTTTGAAAAATGAAGCGTGGATCCTACCTGTAGCAACGCCTTGATCTCATCATAATTCAGCTGTTAATTTTTTTCTGATTTTTTGTCTTGCCTGTTTAGTTAGAACAAAAAGTAAAGATCAAAAACTCTGGCTCAGGTGTCTTTTTATCTCCTGCAGGCCCATCATAGAACCCAAGAGTCAAGGATGTTCACTAGCAATTTGTGATTTATGCATAAGAGGTAGAAATACTATAGATTGTTCATTATAAGATTGACAGCATGCCCGCTTATTCTGGCATCCATTCTGCTTATATGGGCATGCATATGTGTCCACACACATGTGAGTTGGCACATGTACACAAGCGTGCTTATGCTTATGGAGCCCAGAGGTTGGCTCTCACCTACCCTCCAACTCACTTTTGTAACTTGGTCTCTCCCTGACCCTGGAGCTTGCTGATTGGCTACAGCGTTGTTCAGAAAGAACTCCAGGATCCTCCTGTCTTCCGTCTCCTCAGTAACTTTGATTCCTGTGCTGACATTTTTGGTAGGAGCTGAGGTACTCAGGTACTCGGGTGCTCAGGCATGGAGAATAAGCACTTTATTAACTGAACCTTCACCTCAGTCAGGTTCTGGTATTTTTGATAAGCAAACAGCAATTGCTTTTCATTGCTGAAGGAAATTTGAGAGGTGTGTGTGTGTGTGTGTGTGTGTGTGTGTGTGTGTGTGTCTTCCTGTCACCACCAAACCTGTAGTTGATCTAGCTCCCTCTGCAGCTGAGTACTGTTCACTGAAACATGGTGTCTCATTTCTGCTGTGTCTTGCTGTTGTGTTCCTCTCAGGGACTCCCGAGAGCCTTGCTGAGAAGGAACGGCAACTCATGGGGATGATCAACCAGCTGACCAGTCTGCGAGAGCAACTCCTGGCTGCCCACGATGAGCAGAAGAAGCTGGCTGCGTCGCAGATAGAGAAACAGCGCCAGCAGATGGAGTTGGCCAAGCAGCAGCAGGAGCAGGTAAGAGACACTGGGGACCAGGGCATCCTCAGTCAGCTGCTGTCTCTTCTCGGTAAATACTGTTCTAGGTAGAGGAAGACACTTTAGAAAGGCAGCACACACCCTCCCATCCATGCTTAAAGAAACTGTGCAACTGCTTTGGTTGAACCGTAGAAGTGGGATGGGCTGCCCTTCCTACCTCTGAAAACCTGAACTGAAATGCCTGAGATGCCCCCAAACCCCAAGCTTACCTGTTAGCACCAGCATGATGCCATCGGTGGAAAAGCTGGCAGCTAGACTCACAGGGTGGATCCCAGTTAAAGAGCAGGAGCACAAAACATACTGTATACAATTATCTTCAAGACACTGACACAGGATGTTTATGACATATACACGAGAATCATTTTAGATTTAGTTCACAAAGGTATCTCAGTATGTATGCACAGACATCCAAAAATCCAGCAACAATGACCGAAACAAAGCAAAGCCCACTGACATCCAAATGCTTTTAGTCCCTAAACATTCCATATAAGATATTTTTCAACCTTCAATTGTAGTTTTGCTGAGGGGGTGAAGGCAATCCCACAAGGGTGTGTGTGAAACATTGTCTTCTACGGTTGACACAACCATTGTGATTGTGAACTTAGCACAACTGTGGTTACCCACAATGGTCCCTGGGAACAGTCAGTCATGGATGCATGAGGGACTAGTGGGCCCCACCTCTTCCTGCTGAACTGCTGACTGGGGGGGGGGTCATTGTCTTTGCTTGTGCACAGGTTGTTGAACCTACCTGGCTCTAATAGACAGATCTGAGCCCGTAGTCACACAGACAGTCCTGGCTAGAGTCTCTGGGTCACAAAACAAGACGGATGGACATGAACAGGGAGAGGGGTTTGTAGGGAAGAAAGAAAAGTTTGACGGGGGTAGTGGGGAGATGACAGGTAGCGTAGAAAGGAGTAGTAGGGAGAGGGCAGATAGTGTAGACAGGGGTGATAGGGAGATGGTGGATAGTGTAGACAGCAGTAGTAGGGAGATGTCAGGCAGTGTAGACAGGGGTAGTAAGGAGATGACAAGTAGTGAGAGATGAGAGTGGTCATCATAACACCCTGTAGCTGTGTCAAAATACCCCCCCACGCATAATTAATGTGTTGTTGCATAATGATAGAAAGAATGAACTAACCGTGAAGAGTTTAGAAAACCATTTACTGTAGGAATATTTTGAAAAAGAATGGCTAATAATGGTGACAGCTAAGTTTGCTTTACAGAATAGATGGGATTCAGACAGGGAAGTGGGGGTTCTAACGGGGAGGCTGGAAGTTACTGATGTTGCTCTTACAAAGGCTTTTATATTTGTACATAAGAAGACCCTAAAAGCAGACAGCGTGGATAGTGACTGTAAACAGAGAGGAAGACGGAATGGGGAGTCGTGGTTAGTAGGGTCTGTGGCATGAGCAGAAAGAAGGGAGCTAATGAATGTTGACCCTGGGTTGATATGCAAATGGAATGAAGGTTTGGCCTGAGTGAAGAAATGCCTGGGCAACTCGATTTGGATGGCATGGGTGTTCTCCACTCACTCACCTTCCTGTCTGTTACTTCACTGCTTCATAAAAATATTCTGCTTTTTATCGGGGAGGCTGTTAATGATTTTCTTTTTTCTTTTTTCCTTCTCCGCTTCCTCCTCCTCTTCTTTCTCCTCCTTTTTCTCCTCCTCCTCCTCTTCATCCTTTTCCTCCTTCTCCTTCTCCTCCTGTTCTTCCTCTTCCTCCTCTTCTTCTTCCTCCTCTTTCTCCTCCTTTTTCTCCTCCTCCTCCTCTTCATCCTTTTCCTCCTTCTCCTTCTCCTCCTGTTCTTCCTCTTCCTCCTCTTCTTCTTCCTCCTCTTCCTCCTCCTCCTCTTCATCCTTCTCCTCCTCCTCCTCTTCCTCCTCATCTCCATCATCATCGTTGCTTTGATCTCTCTCCCTGTGTAGCCCAGACTGTCCTGTGCCATTAGCCCTCTTGTCTCAGCTGCCTGAATGCTGAGATTGCAAATATACACCACTGTATCCATTATATTTTAATTTTGAAGAAATGCCTTAGCGCTTCCCTTTAAGTGTTTGTACTATTATTGGATATATCTATATTTCTTGCTTTAACCCTGTGAAAAGTTCTGACAGCTTCTGTGACTTCAATAGGCCAGGTCTGTCCTTGAATCTCCAATGCCACCAGCCAAGTCATACTGCAGCCCAGATGAGGGGACCCTTCTGCAGAGGTCCCCCTGCTTTCTTTGGAGGACCCAAGGGCAGCTTGTTCTTTTGACTAGAAGTGGGTTTCTCTGCTCATTCCATCATACATACCTGTGAGTGTCATCAGTAGATTCTAGAACATTTTCTTTTCCTGAGATCTCTGGCATTCTTCTTGGAACCTTGGAAACCAGTCCTGAGATCTTTCCTGAGTGCTCTTCGGTGGCAGGGATGCCAGGCACTGATGTCTCCTCAGTCTGGTGAGGGCACTCCGCAGAGTCACAGGCCAGGACTCGGGCACCCAGGATGCTCTCCAGTCTGGTCATCTCCCTGAAACAGCCATAGGCAGCCCACTCTGCATTCATTCACAGGTCCTCTTCATTCCTCCTAAGGCTGGGGTCAGGAGCTCTGGAGTCAGCTCAGCCTATAAAGTGTTTGGCTCCTGTGTATGAGTGCCTGAGTCCAGTCTCAGGTATGGGGATACATGTATGTACTCCCAGAGTCGAGGCAAAAGGTTCCCTGAGGCCCATTGGTCAGTCAGCCTAGTCTAGTTGGCAAGACACAGACAATGAAAGATCTGTTTTCAGAAATATGGTAGACAGAATGGGAGGAGAGAGAAAGAGAGAGAGGATAGAGAGAGAGAAGGGAGGGAGGGAGGGAAGGAAGGAGAGAAAAAGAGAGGGAGGGAAAGAGAAAGAAGGAGAGAGGGTGAAAAAGAGAGAGGGAGGGAGAGAGGGAGGCAGGTAGGTAGAGGGAGGGGGACAGGGAGAGGGGGACAGAGATGGAGAGGGAGAGATGCAGTTGAAACTCCTTTATTCTGACCCTTACTTTCTGTGTAGTTCCTAATCAACCTGGGATGTCAACCCTCTGAATGTGCTAATTGACACAACCCTTACAAACACTAGGGTATATTTACCCATTATCTCAGTGTTCCCATCATGCTCTCTGAGCTCCAGTCCATGGCTATCTGCTCAACAAATCTGTATTGAGATCAGGTTCCGATCTAGGTATTAGAAGTTGAGAAGGATGCAAAAACCCCACTGTGGATTTTAGGAGTGTTAAGAAATACCAAGCGGGGGATTGGAAGTCGGGGTCCAGATGCAGTAATGCTTTGTTAAAGCTGCTGCCCAGGGAAGACTGACTAGGTAAGACTTGAACAGAGTTGCATAGAAGGTAAGGGAGCAATCTGCATGGTCTCATAGCCTGGGAGTCCCACTAGGAGACCATAGCACGTGAAAAGGCTCAGATACAGGAATAGCCTTGAGAAATAGGAGCATGCTCAGTGTGTTCAAGAGGAAGGTAGGAGAGAACTATGGCAAAAGTGGAGGCACGAGCTACAGGAGGAGATGAAAGGGGAGAAGCAGGGGACCAAACTAAATGGGACTCACAGTCACGATGTGGTCACTGCCGTGTGCTCTTGAGTGCAGCAGGCAGAAGGGTTCTGAAAAGATGAATAGCATGGCATGCTATGTCTTCAAAAATATACCCGTGGACACTAGCTTATAATAGACTGAGAGAAGAAAAGCCAGAAACCAAAGAACAACAAATAAGAGGTTGTTACATCCATCTAGCTTAGAACAGGAGCCAGGAGGGAAGGACAGAAGTGGTCAGGTTCTTGACGTATTCTTGTGGTATCTCTGAAAGGAACTGTGTGTCAAATGAAGTAATTCTATACTTCTTTATGAGAGACAACAAGCAGACCTTGGTAAATGAGTAAATCTTAAAAAAACAAAAACAACAACAACAACAAAACAACAACACCTCTCTTCTTAACCTTCTTCAGAAGGAAGGAAATGCTGACTTTATGCTCCAGCAACGAGGGCAGTAAGGCAGCCGCGTATCTGTTCTGTAGCCACGAAGGATTAACGCGATCCGCTGTGCAATCACAGAGACTCAGCCCTTCATTTTTCCTTTCATCTTTAACTTTCTAAGGAAGGAGTTAAAGGAAATATTTATGTAGCAAAATGATGGGGAGAATCCAGCATACCCTGTAAGAATAAGACGCAGCATTACCCATTAGAGCGGTTAGTTTCGTGAAATCACAGGTTGCTCCTCCGGGTTCCCACTAGAGCTCACCATTTTTTGTTTTGTTGTATTTTGTTTTCTCCTCATCTCCGTACCTCCTGGTCTTAGCAAACAGACACTCATCTTGGCAAATATGCACAAAACATGCACACGGCTTACCTTCACTGCATTCTTAGGTGTTTCCTATGAAGAGGAAGTTCTTAAAACAGATAGAAAGCCACATGTGGTCATAAGTTGGGGTGCTGGGGTACAATACCCGTGTTCACACAGAAGGGGTGGAGTGCGAGTGGGTGTGTGGGCTGTCCCTGCTCTTCCCTGAGGTGGAAAATCCTCAAACATCATGTGTAGGTCTAAATCTCAACCGATTGTAGGCCTGTTGAAGCTGGAGCATCCTTGAGTGTGTGTGTGTGTGTGTGTGTGTGTGTGTGTGTGTGTGTGTGTGTGTATGTGTGTGTGTGTGTGCATAGATGGGTCTGAAGCTTGAAACGAAAGTTGGCACGTGTATGAAAGTAGACCAGTAGACCGGGAGTGAAAAGCATAGCACTATGCTAAGCCTTTGAAGGCGGCCACATTTAATTTGATGTAGACTCTAAAGAGAACGCCAGGTCATAGAGCCAAGGGAAAATGTTCAAGACCAAAAGCGTTGGCGGGAGGGCTTCTGATGAAACCTGAAGGGGTGGGGATCTTACCACATTCTGAGTAGGAGAAAAGAGAAGTGACTGGTCCCCCTGGAAGAGGAAAGTGTACAGGCTATAAGGATGACGGGTGTTCAAGAAGTTTGTGGGAGACTATTTACCTACACCAAACAAAACAACCAAAACTTCATTGAAGAATCTCATGTCCTTGATACCTTGGGATACTAGGAACTTTGGTCCCAGTAGCCCCTGTTTTCATCAGAACGTTTTGCTTATACATTGACAGTGTCAGTAGAGGGAGGGACCTGTTGAAATGTCACTGTGGAGAATAATAATTGAAAGCCTCCCATGTCTTACTGTGATGGAGGTATTGTTTAGGCTTCACACGAGGCATAAGTGATCGCTGAGACGAAATGTCTTGTTTGATCTTCCTTGAGATGATCTGCTGACAGTTAAGCTCGTGGGGGAGTGCTGTGTGCATCTTCTCAGCCAGAATCACTTCCAACTCTGACGGGCAAAGGTTGATCTTCTCCACCCTGGGTTTTACTGTGGTGTCATGGCTCTCTCTGTGTTCCTCCACAGATCGCGAGGCAGCAGCAGCAGCTTCTGCAGCAACAACACAAAATCAACTTGCTTCAGCAACAGATCCAGGTCAGAAATCTACATTTCCACATCTCCTCCTTTTTCAAAGGGAGACTGTCCTTTCTTGGTCTTGTATGATTTGATGGAAATGACAGCCACCCTGGAAGTATTTTTGGGCCCAATTCTCTCTGTGTTGTCTGTGTGATTCAACTTTCAAGTGGTGACGCTGTCACAGGAGTTACCTTGTCAGGTAGCATCCATCTGAGGAGGCTGCCAGCAACTTCTACCTTATACCTAGAAGGGATCATTATAAAGCGCTCCTTTATGCTTTAGTGTTGGACGATGAGCCTGAAAACACTCCTAATGGGGTGGATGCAAGGACACAGCAGAAGGTGCAGCTGGGTTGGGGTTAGAAGCTCAGAGGGTCTCTCGGCAGCTGCTTGTAATCAAAGTGGGGCATGGAGAAGGTAATGAATCAGTGTGTGGCAGATCTCATGGCAGGATCGCCTGGGGGAATCAAGTCCATTTGTATTCGATGAGGATCCACAGTGTTAAAGGACATTGACAAAGGAGAGAAACCTGCGTGAATGATGAAATTAATTATCAGAGGAGAATTCTTCTCTAATATGTACTAAGGACATGGATTTTGACAGAATTCTTTCCTCTCCATATTGAAGCTCCCTTTCCTGGTAGTACTTGGAGATTCGAAGTTAAAATGATGCCATCCATAAAGAATGTGGCGTAGGAGTCTTGAGAGGTATAATTACATCATTCCACCATTCTTTAGGCTGAGGCAAGATGCCAAGAGTTCTAGGCTCACTGGGGTTACATGAGACCCTGTCTCAAAAACTAAAAGGGCAACAACCATGAACTTAAATAGTGTCAGGACATACAAAGTCTGCCGGGCACCTAACTCCTGCTGTCCAAGAATGGGATACTTGGGGGCCAGTGCTCTGACTTCTTGTGATATGTCTGGAACTAACAGTTCAGTTCAGGATTCAATTTTTTTTTCATATTTGAGTAGAAATTCATCTTTCTCTTGAACTTTTCTATTGGGGATATAATATTTTATACTGTAAATATTATAGAAGCAAATGCAGAAACTATTTCATTCAGCTTACAGTTGTGGCTTTAATTTATTTTCTTCCATTTTATCTGATTGGGTCAACTACTGTGACTTTATCCTAGGACATGTGGGCCAGTGTTTATTCTTTCTCAGTCCATCTTAGGCAAGAACTTTCCATAGCTTAAATTGCATTTGCCCTCTGAATATTCTTATCTAACATTCTGATCTCTGTCTCTGTAACACCTTGTAGAAATCAACACACCAACAGTCACTATTCATCTTGTTGAACATTCCGAGCTGTTTTGTACCATTGTCATTGCTTCCAACCTACGTTATGGAACGTTGAGCTAAACAGTTATCTTAGCCACGATTAGACTGTCCCGAAACTCTTTGTTTTAGTTTCAGTTACTAAAGGCATTCAACTGGTTTACCCACTAAAAAAGCATTTTCCATTCTCCATGGGTTAGATAGCTCTACTCAGTGAAGTAGATTGATTTTGAAGACTTACAGCTAGATAGCTTTACACAGGAGTGGCATGTTTCATGACACCATGATGACTTGTTCAGGGTTTCTCTCTGTGTTTAGTGTGGTCTCTCTCTGTGTAGGTGAGGTAAATTTAGGCATCTTCTACTCCATTTTAAATATATCTTTCAACTAAAGTAAATGGGTGCATTGTTACATTTATGCACAAACATATACATTTAAATCACTCTTGACCTGTGAATTTTGTCCCCTCCATCCTTCATGAACAGAATGAAAGTAAGTTATACTCTGAAGTTGCTTATTCTTAGGGAGAACCCCACACAGATTAGCACATGAAATGGTTTCCTTAAATCAGCTCTTTGTGAAATGACTTTATGGCTCTCAAAAGCAACATTTGCTCTGAAATTCATGATTTTAATTGGATTGAATATTCTTTTTATATATTTTATGATAGATGCTCAACGGGGTCACCATCTTCTGGCAGGACTATTCACACGACTCATTGGGGTTAAAAGGAGAATTAAAGATTTCTGTTCTGATCTCTATAGACAAAATGCTGTCATAATACCAGAACCATTCATTTCCCCTCAAGAACATGCCCAGGTCCTTAAGAGAGCTGATGCTGGCACTATGGAAGTTCCAGCTTCTTTTCTACCAGGCAGCAGCATTTCCTAAGACGCTCACCTATTAGCCTTAAAATAATGAGTTTTTATTCCCACCTGTTGTGTTCAGCCCTTAATGCACCTTAATACATGAAATGGCATTTATAAAGATTGCAGAAAAAGCTGTCTCCCAAGGTTTACTTTTATAGGAAAAACCTCTGCTGTTATTGGCTTTTCCTTTTTTCCTCTATTTGAACTTTCTACAGTAGTAAATTTTTAGCAACGTATTTCCTGATTTCCTTTTCACAGTAAGTCACTCCAGGTCTGATGTGGACCATGCTCTGTGTTTCACATAATGAACCAAGGCTGCCAGTTCATCTTGACCTGATTCACTATATGAAAACCTTTCAGGGAGGAGAGTGAGCAACCTCCATTCAACTTCTCTATGACAACAAATCGAGTGTCCCCCGAGAGGCGCATTTCTTTTCTTGTTGGAACATCTGAGGAGATGGAGTTTCTGTAGCTTTGGGGGAGGTGTTTCGAGGCTTGCTTTAGTTTATGTTTTTGCCTGGTTTTAGCAGTACTGGATAGAGTGTATGGGTTTCCTTGTCTGTGAACAGTATTAATCCAACAGTGTGTTTGCGTATGAAATCCTTTAACATATTTTAAGATACCCTGCTGCTTTTCAGATGCATTCTTCTCATGATTCCCATATGGGAATTTACTTTTGAACTTTGAGAGAATCACAAAATTTACTCCATCTCCCACTCTGATCAGCTTCTAAACTATTGTTTGTTATGTTCTCTTGGGGAAAAAGAATTAGTCATTTATAACCCACTATTATGATTTCTGGTCCACAAGGTAAGCAAGCAGAATTAGTCACAGCTCTGGCTCATTGACTCTGCCCAGGGCTGCATGGGAGGGAAGGAAGTACTGTGTCACCTGGTGTTCCCATTGGGCAGTAAGCATCCCAGTCTACACCACAGGAAGGGACTCAGCCCTTCAGGTTAGGCCTCCCATGGTTTCTCTGAGAGCTGTTCCTGTCTGAACTGCCCTCATACCAGCCCTCACATCCACATGCCTTGCTACACCAGTGACACTGACATCTGGCTTTTGTCCTCCAAGGTTCTTCATTCTCAGTTGTGAAATGGGAATCCTAATACCTCAGTCAGGACACATCTGTGGACAATCTTCAGAAGGGAGAAAAATGCGTTCTCTCTAGTATTGCCAGGGCCAGGTAGCCTTAGTGTTTTTTCTAGTCATGTATTGATGTTGAGGAACACACACACACACAACACATACATGTACACATCACATATATATCCATATACATTCACACTCACATAAATTTGTGCACTCACAATGCTCACATACATGTATGCATACAGAGATACTCAAATATATACACATGTATACAGAGAGATTTGTATACTCATATATATGCACACTCACAGAGACACAGTTGTATAGACACAGTCACTCACATAATGTACACATACATATAATGTCACAGATACACACACACATATACAGTAACACCATCTATACATAGAGATACATGTACACACGGAGAAACACATACACACTTATAGACACACATACAGAAAGATGCATATACATATATATACATACAAATATATGTACACACAAGCATATACATATATACACATCCATATGCATATATACATACATATACACACATACATGCATACACATATAAATAAACATATTTATATACATACATTGCATATGAAGACACATACACATACATGTTGATACATATACACATGAATAGAGTCTACGTGGGGTCATCACTGAAATTGAGAGCACAACTTTCCAGATTCATGGGATTTTAGAACTTCAAGAGGTTTTCAAAAGTTTATGTTTGGACCCATCTCTCATTATTCTCTTTGTGATCTGAAGCACTATGTGACTTTTTCAGTGTTGGGAAGTTGGGGATAGTAGCTACTTCTAAACATCCGAGTTTTGACCCTTCATTTTTAATTCAACCAATATCCTACAATTTAATGATCCAACTTTGAAAATGAAATCCAAGTTGACTTAGGTGCAATTGAGTGATTAAGTTGCAGCCATGGGCTCAACCAATTTGTGATAACAGCTTCATTTTATTGGAGCCAAAGTTCTCTGAGCTCATTAGAATTTGGGTAATTCTTGATAAATTATTATGCAGAAAGAAACCTACTGAAGTAGCGTATTGAAAATATACTAGTGTTAGTGGTGACATAAGCGTGCTTGGCTGGCCTGCTGATTTATGATTTCTTTCCCTGAGTGTGGTAAGTCAGAGGCATTTTACTCCCCTCAATAAGACCCCTGCATACATGAGCACAAAGAGACTACAAGGTAACCTTGTCTCTTTGGGAGACTGGAAATGCCAAGAATAAACAGCAGGCCATTAAGGTAGCATTTGAACCTGAGAAGGGAATTCATTAACCCCTTGAGTTCCTGCTAAGTCTATGCAGTTCAAAGTACAAATCCCATGACTGGATGGGGTGTGTACATTCCTGACATTGAGAATAGGTGACCAGAAGAAGGCATGGGGAGGTAGAGACCAGCTCTTCCATCTTCGACTTTCTGGAAGCAGAGCTGCTTGCACAGGAAGGTGGTATGACCTGACAGAGAGGCATAGGAAGCTGCCTGACTGCAGGTCGACAGTTCTGGGCTTTTCCTCAGAAGGCACGCCTGGAGCCCTTGTGAGATTTCTGCATTTATGGGTCTCCTGGCCACAGCTCAGTGACAGGATTGCAGGCATTCCCGTTATCTGACTCTGTAGACAGAGACCAGGTAGGGCAATATGCATCTAGATCATCGTCTCTATCAATAAAATATGTCATATGGCAAAGCAGGCACTGGAAATAATAAAAACAACCATGCTGAGCCCAGTCCTCTAGGCTATATTC